ATCATTTAATGAATCATAAACATTACACGATTTAACCACTAGAGGGCAGCAGTGTGACGACAGTGGTGCCATACCCCCCCCAAAAGTCTAAATGTGTGCGCAAGTACAATCCTGACTTTCTCAACACTTTCAGTGTGTGGAATGTGGGCTAATGCTATCAAACGAAGCACTGAAGCCTTCAAAAATAAAGCGACACCTAGCGACGAAACATCCAACGCTCGTGGGAAAGCCTGTTGGGCTTCTTGTTGTGTATGCAGGTTTACATACACATGATAAATAAATGTCTTTGTGATCATCACATTGTATCATCTCATTTATTTGACAAGAGTTTTGCCTGTTCAACTCCGCGAGGACGCCGGCGTCCTCGATCCCCTCCCCTTCCGTTCTGTTCCTACGGGTTGCTTGCGCAAACTACGTCACAAAACATGGCCGTGTTTGGTATCCCAGCATGCCCAAAACCCTCATCTTTGCAAAGAAATCATCGATTTTCTTTCATTTCTTATGGATTTTTCACAAAAGGAGCCAAAACACACACTGTCCAAAGTCGCCATAACCGCTGCAAGTCGGATCTTGCAGCATTTCGACGGAAAAAGACACATTACAGACCCAACAATGTGCTAACGGATGTTACCATGGAGCTAGTAGCTTCAGAAAACGCTAGTACTTAAAGTATAAACCTTACCTTCCTTTAATATAAGCCGTCAACCAACGTATAACCTTGCGTAATTCAATCGTATGCTCAGTCACAGCCATTACGCACAGTAAGTCTGCTACTTACATACCACCATTTGCAAAGGCTAAAAATAAAAGGAAAATAATATAATATCAAAATATAAAGGGAGAAACACTTTTAGTGTGTCAGAATATCATTTGGTTACCATGTGTCCATTTGGGTCTCCAAATATCCTTTTAGAGCTCCGCCTGGATCTCTTCATGGAAGAAACACTGTAGAATCGTCATACTTTGTCCAATCTTCTTCAAATTTGAGGCAGTTGTTCACTGATAGTGTAGTTACAGCCCCATACTGTCATTCAAGTTCAATAATTAATTCAAAAGTAGTGTATTGCGCACTTTTATTTTAAAAGTACTGCTATATGAACAAAAGGTCAATAACATTTGGTTTGTAAACACTTTAAACACATCAGGTTCTTGTTAGCAGCAGTATTCCCTTTACACAGCAGCAGTTCTATCTCTTCACTATCTGTGCTCAGTGTGTGACTGTATGTGAAACGTTCCACTGCTGTGCAACAGGAATAAAATGTTTCAGCACGTTTCATCTGAATGTGTCTTGTGTCTTCATGACAGTCAGAGCATGCAAATGCAGCTCTAATGTTCATCAATATAATGTTGTAACTCCGAGGTGATGATGGTGACCCAGCGATCAAAGAATGAAGACACTTTACCCACAATTTAGGTGTATTTTCCCTTTAACTCACGAGATGCAGCATGTTTTATACTTAATGTGAATATAATTCATACTTTTGTTGGCATCTTATTCTGAAAACCGGATGTTCGTCTGAATAAACCGGATGTTGTCTCACGTTATTCTTTCCGCTAACTTTCAAAGTCCTTTTGTAACTGAAAGTGGATGTGGATCATCAATGTCCTCTCTGAGTTGATGAAGAAGACCCTGCTCATCTTCATCATGTTGTTCACCTGAATCCAAAGTTGTGAAGAATGCAACATGCGGTGACAGTTGCACTGATATTTGCAACTCGTTTCATGTGAAGACATTTGATCCTCCTGAATTTAGATTTCAGGATGCCTAAAGCATACTCAATGGCCACACGAGCTGCAGTGAGCTTTCAGTTAAAGCGCCTCTGCCTGGCTCTTAGGTGCCCATTATCTCGGTAGGGTTTCATCAGTTGACGCAACAGAGGATAAGCTGAATCACCGATGATGTGCATTCCCTCTGGGA